AGTTCTGGGGCTTGAACTCAGGGCTTTTTGTACATGCGAGGCAAACAGTCTATCACTAAGCTATAGCCCCAGCCCCAAGTCTGCTTTCTTATCTGTAAAAAAACAGTGAGAGTGACTTTGTGTTGCTGCAAAGTAATGAAGTTCAGGTACTTAGCACAGCGCTGAAGCAGGGAGGTTGTGGAGAACAGTGGTTCCTTCACCATTTATTAGCTGGGCTAAGTTAGGCAAATCATTTCTCCTCTCTCTGAGCCTCAGTCCCTTGCCTGGAAAGTGGGGCTTTTAAAGGGACCTTCTCGATAGCATTAGTACAACAGGTAAATGAGATCACTGGCAACAATCACAGTGAATGTTCACTGGGTCCGGGCTAGGTACAGCCATCTTCATTGTCTCGGTTTCTTTAAATGGTTATATTATTCAGCATTCTCCAAGGAAATACTTTATCACCCACTGTACTGGTTTGCTAGGGCCGACATAACAAAACATTGCAGTCTGGGTAGCTTGAAAAACAGACATCTACTTCTCAGTCTGGAGGTTAGAATTCCAAGATCAAGATCCTGGCAGGGCTGGCTTCTTCTGAGGCCTCTTTCTTTGACTCACAACTGGCTGCCTTCTCCCTGGGTCCCCATTTGGCCTCTCCTCTGTGCATGAATATCCTGGTGTGTGTGTCCAAATTTTCTCCTCTTTTTGTTTTTTTGAGACAGGGTCTCACTGCATATTTTAGGCTGGCCTCAAACTCACAGAAATCCTCCTGCCTCAGCCTCCCAAGTGCTGGGATTGCAATCGTGTGCCACCAGTCTCAGCTCAAATTTCCTTTTCTTACAGGAATACCAGTCAGACTGGATTAGAGTTTACCCCAACAGCCTGGAAGCCCAGCTGACACGTGGACCAGGTGGAACTTAACTCATTTTAAATTAATGATCCCTTTAAATTCCCCCTCTCATCTCTAAATACAATCACATTGTAAGGTTCTGGGGTTAGGGTGTCAACATGTGAATTGGGGAGGGGTACAATAAAGCCTATAACAAGGTTCTAATACCTACTGAAAGGACTGAGGATTAAAAAAACAAGTCATGTGGCAGGTCTGTGACTGTCTACAGCAGGCACTCAATAAATGTTATCTTCTTTCCCACATCTGGAAAACCCTTTGGAGTCATAAAAAATGATAAGCATAGGCCTCAGGTGGTAGGAACCACAGAAGAATTTGGAGAACTGATGGGAATTCTTCCTAGTATAAGAGAAGGAGAAATTTTCCTTCCCAGGACTTGCCTAACACAGTGATTCTCAAACCTGAACGTGCATATGAGCTCCCTGAAGGGCTTGTTAATCCCCAGGAAGCTGACTCAGGGGGTCCGGGGTGGCCTGAGAATTGGCATGTGTCGCAAGTCCCCAGATGATGCTAAAATTGCTGATCTGGGGATCACACTTGAGAACTACCAGCCTACTGCATTACTTGTGCACTGGAGGGTTAGAATGAGTGATATGGCGCGTGGGGTACAGGGAGTGAGTGTTCCAGGCCATAGTGGTTTGCTTGCAGTGGTGTGCTGGATTGTATTTCTGAGGTGTCCATCAGGATGACCCCAAGCTAGCTTCAGCCTATTTCTCCATTTTCTCCCAATGATAGGAACTGGGGAGATTTTTCAGGCAATTTGCAAGGAGCTAATCCTGCTCAGGTCCTACATCCCTTCTTTACCCCCTTCCTTCCCTCCTTCTGGCTGGTCCTCTCTGGCTGGGCTTCCAGGTGGGCCCTCAGCCTGATGGAGCACTTCAGGAGGGGCCTTCACAGCGAGCAGCAATTTGGCCCCGGCACAGAGCACAGCTCCTGTGAGGGAACAAAGCTGCAGTGTGCAGAAATGTCAGCTTTTCCCAGGCTTGACTGGATGATGGGAGAAGGGAAGGATTTTCTCCTTCTCATTTAAGTAGTTTCTATGTGTCGAAAGATGTTTTATGGAAACAGAAATTGTACCTGATAAAGTGCCAGCATTAATCCATTTGATGCAAGGGAGGCCCTTTTCACAGCAACGTAGCAAGTTAATGTAACACTGATGGATAAGAAATGGCGGATGATAATTTCAAGAGATTTTTTTAAAACCCAATGAGGAAAAGGTTGAGAGAGTGACTTTCCCTTTTATTTCTTCCTGTGAATAAGTGTATCTTTAATACTAATAGTATTTGCTGAAATAGTTTTGGCTAAAGTCCAAAGGGAGTTTTCAGAGTGGGCCAATTTCTCTTTTACATCTGCTTCCCTGGCTCAGCCATCAGATAAGCAGTTCTGTCCAGTAAACATTTATGGAGGTCCTACTGTGTGTCGGGAACCATACTTCAGTCCAAGGAGCTCAGAGGTGAGCCAGGGACCCAGCCAGTGACAATGGCATTCGACAGCCAGGCAGAGCTCATCCACCTCTCAGTTCATACAGCATCCTACTAAATCACTGTGAGAGCACAACCGCTCTGTACTGTCTGATGAGAAGGCATGCCTTCTACTCAACTTGTAATAAAATCTCCAAAACTTCTCTATTTTTAAAGCGAGGTCTACCCCAAGGAGGTCCCTGAACATCTGGATGAAAGGAAACGAGCCTTTAATGCCATTTTCAAAGGTGTTTTATGTGCATGTTAAAGTGTTAGAGATCTTTTGTTTACAACACAGGGATTGATTTTGGTTCATTTTAAAGGAAAGTAACTATGGTTATTGCTAATGACAATTAAAACATCACAGGGTCAAGCGACTGGGAGGTTGAGGGCCGAGTCTGGGTTGGGCAACTTACTGACACCCTGTCTGAAAAATAAAAAATAAAGGGCTGGGCATTTAGCTCAGTGGTTCCGGTGCCTGCCTTGCAAGCGCAAGGTCCTGAGTTCAATACCCTGTACCAAAAATACAATACAATAAATAAAAAATAATACAAGGGCTGAAGATCTAGCTCAGTTCAAAGGCCTTGGTTTCAATCTCCAGGACTAAGAGAAGAAAAGACTGGCTTTGTGTTTTTTTTATAAGGGAGTCGATGTGATTCTCATTCACTTGCATTATAACATTCTCACTATGAACAGCCCGTGGCGTAAGTACACTGTTAGAGTAAAGAATGTCCTTCTTATCCATCATGAGTGGTTTTAGCTACACACTAGGCTAAGGACAGCTGACCCACGCAGGACAGCGGGACAGGCCAGAATTTTCAAAGCTGAACATGAAGGCATGGGCTCTAATTCAATCAAGGAACAAGAAGAAACACTGAAAAGAAGCCAGAGGTATGGAAAGAGAAAGGGCTGAGGCGACAAGAGAAAGAAAAGGGGAAATGGAGAGGAGAGAGGCCATAAAAGAATAATGTTTGAGTAGTCTTCCTCTAGGATCAACTGCAACTTGGTGGAAAAGCCTCCTTCTGGAGAAGCAGCATGACAAAGGCCAGGGCCAACCACTGTCCCTTCACACTAGGGTACGTGCATTTTCACTGCCAATCAGAAGTGTTTCTGACCTTTATGAAACTGAGTCATTATATCTGATTAGGACTGAAGTATTTTGGGAGTTACCACACAGAGATATATTTGGCAAGAAAGTTTGTTGAATCATCATTTCATTTTCTTATAATCCTTCAAGAAAACCTGGCTGCAGAGCCACTGTCTACCGTGGGATGTTTTGCAAAGAAGGAATTGCCATCCTGAAGAAATGCAATTGGAAGGGCTCTGAGGAAGGTATCTAGAACATGGGCATCTCGTTTATCTTTCCTTCTTTTCTCTTCCTGTAGTAATTTCCTCCCCTCACCTGCCTATTCAGGTGCCCAATTTCCTTCTTTCTCTGTTAGACTCCCTCCCTCCCAAGCACTGTGAGCACAGTGTTAGGCACTGTGGACACAGTGGGCCAGGTCAGCATGGCCAAGGGCCTGTCACCTGGGGTGTTCTCACTCGGGCAGGAAGGGCGAACTGTGCTGAGTGGGGCAGACTGTGCACTGCAGAGAATCCTGGGGCACCAGTGTGACTGGTAAAGATAACAGGGGATGGGGTGGCAGTGGAAGGAAAGGGTGGGCTGGACTGTCCTGAGTCACCTGGCTTAAACCAGGGTGTGATTTGATTTTATACTTTAGAAAGAGCCTTCTGGCTGCATTTTGGAGATTGGATGAGAGAGAGACCAGTAGGAAGTAGAAAGACCAGGTAGGAACATTTTGTAGAGTTGTGTTAGAGATTATTGTGCTATCTTTCTTAAGGGACTCCAAGCAAGAAAGGGAAGCAGAACAGAGATCAACTGCTAATGGGAGAATTCTTTTCAGCCGGAGATGAACGTTTGGGAGGCCGGGGTCCTCTCTTGTTATCAAACCATACTAAGGCCAGCTGCCCTCCTGGGAAAGAGCACCAGTGAGGAGGGGGGTAGGGGAGGATGCAGTTTAGCAGTGAAGGCCAAGAAGGGGTGGGGCCAGAAAAGCAATGAGGGGACCCCAGGAGACTTTGGGATGCTGAGTCACAGCACTGGGTTGCTCCTTGGAATTGCCAAAGGACCTCTACATACCAAGGCCTAAGCCAGACCAACTGAAGACTAATTTCCAAGACTGTGCATTTTTCAAGCCTCCACAATGACTCCGACAGGCAGCCAAGATGGAGAGCTGTGCCCTAAAGCGGTGATCTTCACAGTGTGCCCTGGGGACCAGCTGCATGGGCACCACCTAGGGGCTGGTTAGAAATGTGGCTTCTCAGGCCCGGTCCAGACCAGCTGAGTCAGTCTGCATTTCACAGAGATCCCTTGGTAACTGCTATGCCATTGGAATCACTTGAGGAACTTTATTTACAAAAAGAAAATCCCAGAACCTGCCTCTGGCTTCTAGAAATTCTGATGTGATGGGTTGAGGTGTGGCCTGGGTGACAGGATTTTTTAAATCTCCTCAAGTGATTCCCACATGCATCTAAGGTAGAGAAGGATGCAAATTCTACCAGTGTTCTTCATGGCCCTGCAGCTCAAATTAAAGAGAAGGGTGGGGTGTAGGACTATACAGACAGAGCCAACTCACAATGATGGTTCAACTTACAATATTTTGACTTTACAATGATACAGTATGCAGCCAGGAGAGACTGTGACCTGAATTTGGACCTCTTCTTGGTTATAGATGTGCCATGCCATACTCTTCTGACGTTAGGCAGCAGCTGCAGCCATCTACAGCTTCCAGTCTACCACCTGGTCGTGAGAATAAACAGCCAACATTCTATGTGTATTGTTTGGGTATTTTTGCACACAAATATATAATCTTTATTTTAACTCATGAATACATAAGTTTTATATCAGAATTGTGAGGTACATTAATATTTACAGCAGAAAACCAAACATCTCTCTAAAGACACACATGTAATATATATATATATATTTTTTTTTTTTTTTTGGTACCGGGGATGGAACTCTGGTCCTTGTGCTTGCAAGGCAGGCGGCGGAACCACTGAGCTAAATCCCTGGCCTGACACACATCTAATTTTATGCATTTATAATCCATTCAAAATCCTAAGTGGTTGTTCGAAAATTGCTATCTCCTTGAGAATGGTTTTTTAAAAAGCCAAATTATTATAATATCAATGACAACTTTCAGCTTTGAAGGCCTCCAAACAGGTAACTAGTAAATCTTTGTTTCTATTGTTTTCCTTAGTTTTTAAAATTTTTCTAATTCCTTCTCCTCCCTCATTTCTTCCCACCCCCCGTCCTCCTCCTCTCATTTGAACATTCTCCCGACTTCCTAATATCTATACAATGGCCATTTTAAAAAAGACACCAGGCACGATGGCCAACCCAGGTTACAGTGAGACAAGGAAAAAAAAAGGCATGGTGGTGTATACCTGTTATAACACTTGGGAGGCTGAGACAGCAGGATGCTGAGTTCGAGGCCAGCCTGAACTATAGACACCCTGTGTCTACAGTGTACTGTTTTGATGCTTCATAGATTTGGTGTATTCAATGCATTTTGACTTAATAATACTTTCAATTTATGATGAATTTATTAGGATGCAACCCCACAGTAAGTCAAGGGATACAAACCTACAATCTTGCAAGTAAAAGTAAATTTAGAAAAATCACGAAGTGTTTAAAATACTTGAATAGATTCTGTGTCCTTGCAGTAAGTCATTCCTGGAAGTGAGATTCCTGAGGCAGCAAAGCAATCAGAACATTTATTTTGGAACATGTTGCACTACCTGCTTATCCTGGTGTAACCCCATCTAAGGATTCGACCTCATGTGCCTCATCTTGTGCATGTGTGAAATGGGGCCTGGGATGTAGCTCAGTGGTGCCACACCTGCCTGGCAAGTGCAAGGTCCTGAGTTCAATCCCCGGTACCAAAAAAACCCCCAAAACAAAACAAAATGGGCACAGTAATCCTCCACTGGTGGGTAAGTAAAGAGCAGTGGTGCAGGGAGCCTTTAAATGCCCCTGCTGGTGTTCGTGCCCTCGCGTGTTTCCTTCTGTGTATACGCTGGACCTGGTGACAGGTGACAGCTTCTGCGAGAACACAGCAAAAGCAATGGCTGCCACTTCCAAGATTGGGTTATGAAGAAGCTGTAGCCTCCCCTCCCTTCTTTCCCTTTTCCCTGTCACCTACCTGGCAGGTTGCTGATCGCTCTGCTCCCAGCAAGGTCCTGAGGCGTCTGAGTGAGCACAGAAGCCAGGCTTCCTAGGAGATCACGGAGATCAACACAGCCTTTGAGAGACCCTGAGTCCTTAATGACAAAACCTGGAAAGCCGCACAGCATCACTGCCGCTACCAGATACATCTGATTATCTGTATCTTTCACAGCAGGGCTCAGAAAACACCCTCAAGCGACTCAGATTTAAATCGGGGTATGTGCGTGAGATGGAACAGCTCCCACAGGACAGCCCCCTCCCCCCAACACCGAACAGCTCTGACCAGGGCTCCTGGGTCAGGTTTATGTGATTATCCATCTTTGCAAAATACAGCTGTCACAGAGTATTCAGTGCTCCTGATTGTCACCAGCACTGGTAGTAGTAACGGGTGCCACAGCAGCTCCGCCACCTGGGCCTGGGGATGGACGAGGAGAGGATGTTGGCACAGGGCTCCGGAGAAGATCTGGGTTGGAAAGCCAGGTCCACCTCTCAGGCAGGTCCAACCTTAGATGCATCACTTCCTCTCTCAGAGTCTTAGCTTCCTCCTTTGTAAAATGGAGATCGAAATAGCTACCAGGGTACAAAAAAATGGCAGGATCATTTAGGAAAGTCCTTTCCTAGGCTGAGCTGGGAGAACTGGGGCCAAAGGCTTTCCCCGTTTCCTCTCTCACCTTGAAAGGCTGCCAGAGGAAATGCCCCAAGCCTCTCAGGCCAGCGCTAAGTGGGAGTCTAAAGGGTTAAGGAGGTCTGGCCTAGAAGCAGAGGGCTGAGGGGAAGCAGGAGGTGGGCTGGGACTGGGCCGGGCACTATTAGCATGCAGCTGGTAAATGCGGCCCAGGATGCAGGCTCAGCTGTTCATTCTCCCAGTGCCAAAGGAGAAGGATGAAAAACGGCAGTGAGCTCTGTTGGTGGAAAGGGCCTCTCTGTGGGAGCTGTCCCATCCTGCATGTAGCCCTGATTCAAAGCGGAGAAGAGCCCCTGGAGGGGGTTTTGTGAGCCGTGCAATGCTAATTAACTCTATTGTTAAATTTCATTTTCAGCCTTAGAGTCCCTCTAGGATTGGAGCACTTTCTTTTGCAAGAATTTAAAATTTTGCACCAGTGTGTAAGTCTCTGCCAGTATTGTGGGCAGAGGGGCCTGGAAATCTTCAGGTGGAGAGATTGGGCTCAGTCAAGCGAGAGATTGACAACAGACCATAACCAGAATCTTTTGATTTTTTTCCTTTTATTGAAACCACCCTCAAGCTTCCTGAGTTATGTTTTAGTGGTTAGAGCTTTTTAAAGGAAAAAGACAGGGAGGGGGACCCCAAACCAATGAGCAAAACCTTGAGAAAATGGAAGCCTCATGAAAGGGGCTGATTTGTTTCTGCCAAATTCCCTGCAAAAGCAATTCCAGAAAATTTAAGTTCTTGCTGCCAAATGCCTGGACTTTCTAGGAGCCAAGAAGGAAAGGAAGGACCAGATGAGAAATCTGGGCAGGGAGCCCTCCTGTCCCAACCAACAGATTCGCGCCCCCCACCCCCCCCATCTGATCCCAGCAAGGATCAGGTGATTCACAAGCTAGGGAGGAAGACAATTGTTCCAGGCCTTCTGGATTACTCATAATCCAGGCTCTGACTCACCTGCCTGGACTCACTCCAAGGTGAGAGGGAGTGAAAGGCTCAGGGTCAGCACACAGCACTGGCCACCGGCCAGCAGCAAACCCCTGGCCCAAAGTAGACCAGAGGGACCACGGAATCCGGATTTTTGTCTGTGTGGCAAAAAATAGCTACAGAGTAGGAGGATGGTTGATAACCCTCGACCTCCCAAGGCTGAGCAGAGAGTCAGGCTCAGATATTCCAATACTGACGGGCATTTGGAAGGGGTGCAGCTTGGCAGCCCCTGGTTGGGACAGTGTGTGAGTGTGAGTGTGTGTGTGTGTGTGTGTGTGTGTGTGTGTGTATTATTGTGGATAGGAAATAAGAGCAGTCTGGTGATTTTGGTGTCTTTAGACCTGAGCTGTCCAACATATGAGCCACTGAGAGATCCTTTGGAATTGCACTGGCCAATATAGCAGCCAATTAGTGCACACACTATTGAGCTCTTAAGGTTTGGCTAATCCAAACTGAGAGGTATAGAATACTTGTCAGATTTCAAAGATGGAGTAAGAAAAAGCAATGTAAACTATTTCATAATTACTTATATTGATTACATGTTCAAATAATACATCTTTGGATACCTTGGGTAAATAAAATTATTTAAAATAATATTTTCTTTCCTTTTAAAAATGCAGCTACTAAGAAAGTTAAAATCATACACTGTATGTGGTTTACAATTTGGGGGGGAGTTGGTACTGGGAATTGAACCCAGAGCCTTCGCACTGAGCTACATCCTCAGCTCTTTGATTACTTTGAGACAGGATCTCACTAAGACACCCAAACTGGGCTTGAATTTGTGATCCTCCTGCCTAAGCCTCCTACAGGGCTGGGATTACAGGCATGTGCCACTCCCAGTTTTTAACTCATCAAGGCTCATCTCTTTGAAACAGAACAAAGAAGAAATCAGGTTGTGGATCTTGGCTAGATAGGTTAATCCTCCATTAACTGGCTGTAAGATCTGGTTAAGTTCTTTAAACTCTCCGTGTCCCAGTTTCCCCATGTCTGCAATGGGAGCAGTACTAGTACATTAGTAGGTCAAGCTTTAATGAGAAGATGCACCCTAAAGCACCGAGAGCAGTAAACACGTAGTTGCCTTCATTATTATCTAGTCTTAAGAGTTTCTCACAAGGCTGAGGAAAGTCTGGGGAACAGAGGCATGGATTGTTGCTCTTGATATCTACCTTCAGTCCCCCAGACCTGGCATATTAACTGGTGAAAAGACACTCCCTCCTTACATGGGTTTTGTGTGTGAATTTGGAGACTAAGTTTTCACACGGTAGGCAAGTGCTTGAACACAGCTACACCCCCAGCACATTCTTTCTCAGTAAGGCCAAGTAAGTTAGCCAGCTCAGAATGGGACATATGGGGTATTAAAGACCCTGGGACTAAGTCCTGCCATCTGACCCTTGTGAGATTGCTAAACCTTTCTGAGCCTCAGATTCCTCACATGGGTATAAAGGTGTCTGGGAATTCTTCCAATTTCCTGTATCATTTAAACAGGTCACGGGTTTTCACGAACACCTAGTATGTGCCAGCCACAATGGGAATGATAGAGATACTGTGAGGGTTGTTTCCAGTCCAACACGGAAGAGATGAAGTGATTAGTTATAAATACTCATGCTTTAAAAAGTATGAATAAAAATGAAAAAAAATTTAAAAGTATACGAAGGATGGGAAAGAAAAATAAGGGAAGCTGATTAGGGTTGTACCAGGGGACATACTGTATTAAGTTGGAAGAACCAGACGGCAATTTTTAGGGTATGATTCTTGAGCTGTGAAGCCACATAACTAAAAAAGGCGGGGGGGGGGGGTTGGGATATTGCTGGCAAAGGGACTAGAACGAAGGAAGATCCTGAGGCACCAGAAACTGTGACTATCCAGGCAGCCAGGGTTTGTGAAGAGAAAGGTTGTGGTGCTTAATTTTATGGTCATGACAACCAGCTGTTAGGTCAGACACTACTCAAGGCGTGGTTGGGAAAGTATTTTGTAGGTGTGACTAACACTTAAATCAGCGACTTGGAGTGAGGCGGATACCTCTCAGTGATAGGCATGGGCTTCACCCAATCCCCTGAAAGCCTTAAAAGAAAAACTGACCTTTCCCAGAGAAGGAATTCTGTACCAAGATCCTAACACAGAAATCCTGCCTTGTTTCTAGTCAACTGCCCTATGGATTATAGACTCAAGACAGCAATGTCAACTCTTACCTCAAGTGCTGTCCTGCACATTTTAGATTTGCCAGTGTCCTCGGTCATGTGAGCCAGTTCCTTAATGTCTCTCTCTCTCTATGTGTATATGTGGGTATATTCAATAGGCCCTGTTTCTCTGGAGAGCCCCAATGATACAGGGGTCACAGATGGGTTCAGGCAGAGGAAGTGGAGTGAGGGGGTGGGGATTTCAGAGGCAACACCTGGGCTGTGTTTGGAACCAGGAGTAGCAGTGAGAGTCTCACATTAAGAGTGATGTAAACATATTACGGGCAGAGATCATGAACTCAACATCGTAGCCCATATTCTGTAGTGCTCATATAGCATCTGGGGTAGACTTGTAGCACCGATGGCCTCGGGGGTCCTTTACCTGTAGCCACAACCTTTGCCGGTTTGACTCACGGAAAAGGCTCATTTACGTCCCCACTCCTTGAGTCCAGTGGGCTTTGTGACTTGCAGAATGCAGTAGGATGCTGGTGAGCCAGTGCCAAGCCTAGGTCTTAAGAGGTCTTGCATATGTCCACTTGTGTCTTGTGTCCCTACCATGGCCAGAAGAACGTGCCCAGGCTGGCCTGTTTAGTGCAACAGATGTCTGGAGCAGAACAGCTGCCCCAGTGGTTGAGCTGAGGACAGCCTCAATCAGCCAGCAACCAGCTGACCCCAAACATGCAGACAAGCCAACCACAGTCAGCCAGACTGCCTGGCCAGGCAGCTCAGTCACTTGAGCGAAGAAGCCTAGACTCTGCGCTTGTGAGGCAGGTGCAGTGCCACTAGTTAAATCCCCGGCCCGCTACCAATTTCTAACAGCAGCCTTCGTGGGCCTCCCCCAGCTGCTGCACCACTGTGGTGACTGCACCTTTCCATCCCCCAGCACCGAGCACTTGAAACCATCTTTTCAAAGCCATGGTCCTCACAGCATGGTCCCCAAAGCCGGAACATGTTAGAAACACAAACTCTCAGGCCTCGTTCAAGACTTTCTGAATCAGTCCCTCTAGGCTGGGATGCAGCCACCTGCTGGCTTGAGCCATGGGTGGTACATGCGTGACTGTCCCATCGGGCGGCTTGTACTACTGATGGTACAGATGGATCTAATCACAGTTATCGGTCTTTTTACCAGTAAAATTAATAAAAAGCCACCCAAATGTGCCAGCTGTCATTCAAGCTGCTCAGCGGTGAGATATACAGCCAGGTCAAGAATGTGCTAAGCAG